GCAGCCGGTCCGGGCCTAGTTCCGAGATGCTCCTCTCCTGACATCTTCCCTCTGTCGCCTGAGCCCCCGCCTCTCCGGACCTGCGGGGCGGACAGCGAGGAGCCGGGGACCTGGGAGGGGGGCCAGGAGCTCAGACGGACACTCCCCACGGGACGCACCCCAGGACCCAGCTCGGCGCGAAGCTGGAGTCTCTGGCCCAGAGGCAGGGGCGGGTGCGGGCCAGTTCCCGCCGCGGGGGGTACTGCCCGGGCCGCTCCCCGCTCCCTGTGCCCGGGGCAGGAGGACAAGGGGAGGCCACCCACCCAGCCAAGACAGGGGCTGGGGGGAGGGGGGGAAGAGATCCGGTCTGAGGGCTCTGGGGGCCTCGGCGAGCGTGGATTCCCGCGGGTCTCCTGCTCTCCGCCAGGGTGGATCCCCGCACCCCACGCTCTCCAGCCCCCTCGCAGCCCAGCCACCGCAAGTGTCCCAAGGAGGAGGGGGGGTAGTCATGGAAAACGGGAAAAACTAAAAATCGAGACTCTGCAGCCCCAAACCTTCGGAGTTTGCCTCTTCCCCACTACTCAGAAGGGAGATAGGCACCCAAGAGGCTCAGAGACGTGGTAGGGGCGGGGCAGGGAGCACTCATCCTCCCCCCAAGTTTGAAGAGATGCGGGTGCGCCCCTGCCACCTGTTCCTCCCGTGGCCGATTTCTTTCCAAAGTCACTGCAGGCGTTCGCTCTCGGGCCGGGCTGCTCCTCTGGCTTCGCTTCCTCCACCTGCGAAGCCGGGAGCCCGGGGCCAGCTAACGGGCGAGGCTAAGTCCCCCGCCTCCGGGGCTGGAGCACCGGGCCCAGGTGCTCTCTCTCTGCACAGCTCCTTCCTCCCGCTGGGCCCGGAGCTGCGACCGTGGAGAGGGCCCCGGGAGGACCCTGCGAACCAGGCACTGAGCCTTCTGGCCCCGTCCTTTCCGGAAGAGCCTCCAGGATTGGGGCTGAGCTCCCGTGGGGCGTCTTCCACGAGTTCGGGGCTGATCCATGCCCACGCGGGAAGCCTGTTCCTGGAGCCCCAAGGGCGGCAGAGCGGAGGGAGTGAGCGGCGGCTCGGAGCGCAACCTTAACGCGGGCGTTGGAGCGGAAGAAAGGGGCCAGAACTCTCTAGAAGGGGCCTAGCAAGCACAGTTCAATCTCCTTCGCTGAGAGATGCCTGGAGAACCCACCGCCTCTCTGAGGGCAGGGAAGGGGTTTTGCAATCCCTGCTAAGTGTCTTAATGGAGCTACAAAACCTTGCTGGCCCCGCAGCTAGAAAACAAAACTTGGGGAGATGCAAGACCTTGAATTTGTGAGTTGTTCAGGCTGCCCCTTGTCAGGATATAAACCCAAACCTCCCACCAGCCCCGGGGAGCTGGAGAGGCTCGCTAGAAACCAAGGCCCAGCAGCCTGCTTCCCCTTTCTGAGTGTGACTCTGTCCCTCAAAGTTCGGCCACTGGCTTACATCACAGGGGTATTTGGACCTGGGCTTCTCAAGAGATCCCGGCCCACGAAGCTTTCACTGTCCTTTTAACTATACAGCGACGTTTGTTTTCAGAGTGAAGGGATCGTTGTTGTGTTTCTAGGGGGAATTTAAAACTTGGAACTTCAGAACTTTGAAGAAAGTGGCAAATTTACAACACACACACACACACACACACACACACACACGCACGTCCAAAAACCATTCTTACTTTTGAGGCCATGTAATTTTGTTTTTAGCATCAGTCATTTGAGAATTTAACGGGACATGCAAGCAAAAGTTGCCTGCAAAGTCACACCCCCAGCTTACCAGCTCCCACCGATGCAAGGCCCTTTCTGGGAATGCCAGTGGTGATTGTTTCAACCCAGTAACTTAATAAACTCCCAATGACCTGGCTCCCAAATCGCCTTTCTTCTTGAGTTCCTGCCCTGTTCCAATCCTTTCTCTCAGCCTCTAGAAAAAAGAAAAAAAAAGTTTTGTGACCCAGAATAGAGTTCAGCCCCTTTAGGAAACCTCCTCAGAGTTGGAAACAAGGCCTATTTTTTCCACTTCTGGACAACCTGGGGAGAATTCTCTGGGCTTTGGGCTCTTTTTAGCACAGTGCCCCCTGGGAGTAGAACCCACAGCTCTTTAGATAACTCAAAAGATTCTGGTCCCAGCAACAGACCCCCAAAGCCAGCGTTGTGGGTAAGGCATGTGGTCTTAGTACTTCGGGTGCCCAGGTGAGGTTCCAGCTATAGAGACAGGGTGAAGCCCATTGCTAAGCCAGTGGCAGGCCTTCAGAAACAGGCCTTCCCAGAAGCAGGCCTTCGGAAACAGGACTCAAAGAAGCAGTGGCTCAGGGGAAAGTCATTTTCCTGATTGATGAAACTTCTCTGTTCTGCCCCTCCCCCCCTTTCTAAATAATAAACTCCCAGGGAAAGGCTGGAGGGCTGCTTAGTGTTGGTTCAAATAAATCCTCAACAGCTCTTTGCTCACCCGGAGAAATGAATCACCCTTGGGAAGCAAACGATTATTCCCCCATTTGTCTGCCAAAAACCAGAGGAAATAAGCACCCTCCGCTGTAGACCCTCACTTTGGTTGTTCTCCCTGACAGTGGGGAAGTTAGGAGGGGGCAGAGGGTAAAAAAGATATGGAGAGTGAGTTCAATAGAGCTTGGACCCACAAAGATGCCCTCCCAGGGAGGGGCAGCACCAGGCAGGCAGGGTGGGGGTGGGGGGCCAGGCAGGAAAAGACAGGTGCTTCTTAGATGTGCTGTCCATGCTGAATGCTGGAGAGAGACAGTTCTATTGCCCTGGGGTGGACACCTCAGGCCTCCCCCACTTGAAGAGGACTTTCGGCCTCACCAACAAGGGGGTGATACTACCTGTAATCCAGAGGCAAACATGGGGTGACACATTTTCATCAGGTTTTTATTTTCATTAGTGGGACATACGGACATGTGCTGTTGGGTTTGTCATCCCTCGAATTTGATTCCTCGCCCTCTGTAAACAAAACTCTCTTGCTGGATGACTTTGGCTTATATACACTATTTGAAACTGTTATGGGACAGAGGGACGAAGAGAGTAAAGTAATTTATTTAAATGACCTCAGTTTTAGCCATCATTAATGTAGATTTTTCTCTTCATTCCCCACTCCTCACCCTGTAAGACTTGCAAATAGTTTGTATTCAACTAAAGACCTGCTGGTCTTCTCAGGGAGGAAAAAAGGGAGAATTGCCCCCATAAATCTGCAAGATACTGAGACCTAGCAGGTCACTGGCCTCACCCTGCTCACTTTACAAAGCAGAGCAGCCTTCCCTTTGCTCCCAGGGGCTGCTGCCCCAGCAGGCAGGGGGCCGGGTTTGATTCTTTCCTAGAACAACTCTTTGTTGACTTTAAAAACATATACCGCATTTTAACCTGTTGTGTGTGTTTTTTTTTTAAAGGCCACACGGGCAATTTAAAGGGAAAAGAAGTTAACTTACTGCTTCATTCTCATCTGTTGCCAACACAACCAGCACAGACTACTTGGCCTCTAATTTCCTGTCATTTTGGGTTTCCAGGTTACTTAGAAAACACACACACACAGCACAAAACAACTCAATTTGCTGAGTTTATGAGGGTCTGATTATTGCAGAGAAACAAGGAGCTCAAAATATCACCATTGATAATGCCCACATTAGGAGGACATTCAGTTGTAATAATTAACACCAATTTATATGACCTCTTTTACCTGTGAATGACCAGAGCAAACATCGCATCTGCTCATGCATCCAAATCTTTCACACAGATCCCAACACATCTTTCTGTGTCCACGTGTTCCCTGCCCACTGCCCCATCTTCAAAAATGTTAGGCAAAGGCAAAGCCAGGATTTAAAGGTTCTTTTTTATTTGAAATCTCATCCAGAAACACTGGTTATTAATAAATATATCATAGTTATCAAGAATATATAAAAAATAAAGACAGGTATTGTCTTTGAAGCCCTAACAAAATATTTCAAGCAAATGTTCAGGAAAATAAAAACGCACCCCATCCCCATAACCACAATCCGTTTTCAAAGCTGCTGATAGAGAGCCTACCCCGCATGCAGAATAACCGAGCGAGGGGGAGCGAGGCAAGCTGGTGGCAGGAGCCCCTACAACAGCCGCGGAAGGTTGGGAATGGGGTCTGAAGGGGTTGGGATGGGAGAAGAAGCGCATGTGCGTGAGTTTGGGTCTTTGCACTCTGCCCCCGTTTTCATTTCAAACAACCACAGACAGATATACGGAGTACTTGGGAGAATTCACTAGTAAATCCTTGTTACAAGGAAAATGGCATCACGGCCTGCACAACATGTTTAGACAAGATTCATGTAGAAGCGTGCATGCATTCTTTTGACCTACACTGCGTCCCAAGGAAAACGCACATAAGAGATGTCATGCCCAGACCGGAGGTGAGATTCAGAACTGGGGTTTCTCTCTCTCTCTCTCTCTCTCTCTCTCTCTCTCTCTCTCTCTCTCTCTCTCTCTGCAGTGTCTCTAGAAAAACAAAACAACCGTGGAGAGGACAGTGGCCATCGCAATGACACCCCTTTAAAGGAAATATTTACATTTGTTTTGCCCAAAAGGGATGGTTGTCTTTTCCAAAGCGAGAACACAGAGCCAGAGAAAGCCAACTCCAAAGTCCCTTCTCAGGTGTGTGACCGCACCGACCCCCAGTTCCTACAACAAATGCGGCTTTGCTCAGAGCATAGGGAAGGGAGAAAAAGACGGCTCGGCCTGGGGAAAAGAAACATGCATGCGAAACACACGACATCTGGTTCGAATCCCCCTTCCCTACCACCTAGACATTGCAGTTTTGGTTCCGGTCCTTTCCTTCCCTCCGGGGGTCCAGCGGGTCTGAGATCTCTCTCAACTCGTGCGGGAGGCCACGGGAGCCCGGACCCAACCCTCCCTCCAGCCCGCCAGCCGAGGGCCCATCCTTCCCCTCCCCTCCCGGCCCCTCCTGCCGCTCTCTCTCCTTCTCCAGCCGCCGCCAGGCCGGCCGGCTGCTCACTTGAGCAAGTCCTTGGACTCGGCCGACAGGCGGGCCATGCCGGCGGTGGAGAGCGCGGACAGGTGCGGCGCGGGCGGCATCTGGCAGACGGTGCAGGGGCAGGGCAGCCCGGCCCAGTGCTGGAAGCCGCTGCCCAGCTGCAGCGCGGGCGGCGTGGACGGCGCCTTGAGCAGCGCGTGGGGCGGCCGGAGGGCGCCGAGAGCCGGCAGCGAGGCGGCCGACAGCGGGGACGAGGCGGCGCCGCCCGACGCCAGCGCGCCGCCCAGGATGGGGTGCACCGGGTGCACGGCGGCCGCGGCGCTGGCAGCGTGCGCCGGGTGGCCGGCCGAGTGGCCCATGGTCCCGCAGTGGAAGGCCGAGTGGTGGCCCGCCCCGTAGATCTCCCCCACCAGCCTCTTCATCTCCTCCAGGGAGCTGGTGAGCATGAGGATGTAGTTTCGGGCCAGCAGCAGCGTGGCGATCTTGGAGAGCTTGCGCACCGAGGGCCCGTGCGCGTAGGGCATGACCTCGCGCAGCCCGTCCATGGCGAGGTTCAGGTCGTGCATCCGCTTGCGCTCCCGCCCGTTGATCTTCAGCCGCAGCTGCTGCAGGTCCTGCTCCGACAGCTGCTTCTTGATTTTGTACTTGCTGCTCTCCCCCGCGGCCTTGGCGCCGGCCCGCGAGAGGCCCTCGCCGGGCATCTTTTGCACCAGGTCGCCCTGCGTGGAGGAGACTGAGTTGAGACGGCTCTCCTGGTGGTGGTGGTGGTGGTGCCGGTGGTGGTGGTCCCTCAGATACAGCTCGTCCATGTCCGGAGAGGAAGCTCTGCTGGAGACAGAGCTCGAATCAGAATTCATTGTATGACAGGGGGATGCGTCCCGACCGACCGCGGGGAGGCTTGAGGAGGGAAATGAAAGAAAATCTTGAATTTAAAAAAAAAAAATCTGCACAGCCCAGCAACCCACGGCTCAGCGACGACGAGAGACGTGAGAAGAAAAGCTGAGGCGCTGCCTTCCTCGCCTCTCTCCCTCCCACTCCCCTCTCTCTGGGCAGGCAGTTCCCTGGACAGCGAGTGGGTGTGTGCTTGAACTAACCTCACGCCCGAAAAAGAGGGGCTTTTATAGAGTGGCGGCGGAGCAAAGAGACAAAAGAAGCCCTTCTATCTATCCTGGCTGGTTAGGATGACGTGCCATCATTCAGGGCGGTGCGCTCAGCGGTCCCATTTAGCAAAGATTCCCATTCATATTCATCGCGGGCCGCCCGGGGACACCTCTGCTAGGATCCGCTAGGAGCCCCCAGGCACCAACCCTCTGATTGACACACTCACCACTCGGGCTCACGCCTTCCTTCCGATTTTTTTTTTTTTTTAAAAACTTGCTTCCAACCCAAACCCCCTCTCCATTTCCCTAACCAAATCGCACTTAAGACACCGAAGGAAGGGAAGGAAAGGGTCTAGGAAGGCTGGCAGGATACCTCCGCTTTTGGAGAAGGGAATGAAAACATTCTTTCTCCTCCTTTTCTTAGCTACGTTCAATTTTGGACAAATGTGGGCACAGAAATCGGAATGGAACGGTTTCAGGGGCAGAGGCAGATGGAGGGCAGGCTCCACGAGCAGGTGAGGGTTGAGAGGACGAGATGGCAGTCGAAGTGCGTTCTCTCAAGTTTTTTTTTTTTTTAATTAGTTCTCTTTTCTTAAACTGATAGTGTGTTCATTCCGTTCATTGGGCCCTTCTAGTGTGGCTTCCGCGAGATAGGCATCTCTGGCTCCGGGTTTGCCCCTGACACGGTCGTGGTGGAGATGGGTATATAGCTTTCCATGTCTTTTCTTTGGTTTGTAAAGAAATTGAAAGAATTTCAGCTTTGCCCAGTTCTCTAACTTCTTAGACCTGGACCAGCGGGGGGGAAAATAAATCCTAGTGTTTTCAAGAAGAGCATATGCAACAAGGGGAAGGGAAGGAAGCTTGCCGAGGGGCGGGAGGAAATTAGGGATTGGAAAGCTCCCGGGGACTCCGGAGCGGTCCTGCTCGGACTCCCCGGGCGACTCGGACGGTGCCTCTGTTCCCCCGGCGGGCCCAGGAAAGCTGCCGCTCCTGGTCAATAATAAACTACATCCGTGTGTGTGTGTGTGTGTGTGTGTGTGTGTGTGTGTGTGTGTGTGTGAGTGTGCACGGGCGCGCGCTTCGGCGAAAGGGTCTGGGGGAGCCTCCGGGCGCGCGCGGGCACTGAGGGCTCCGCACAGTGTTTCTGGGGATCTGGACCGGGCCTGGCGTTTGGAGCTTTCGGTGCGAGTTTTTCCTCTCTCTCGCTGTGTTTTTGTTACACTCGAGAATAGGTAAGCAGAGTGAGGGGTGGGGATGCAGAAACCCCCGGAAGGGAGAGAGCCCGAGGGCGGCCTGTAGGCGCTCTGGGCGCGGAGGAACCGGAGACAGACACTGGGTTGTGCTGCGTGTTTGGGTGCAAAGTGTGACACTGAACCGATTCGGGACCTTTGGGAGTTAGGGCTTCGGTCCTTCCGCTCGGCAGGCACTGCAGGTCTCCAGGACTCCCTGGGAGGAGGAGGAGGAGGAGGAGGAGGAGGAGGAGGAGGAGGAGGAGGAGGAGGAGGAAGAGGGAAAGCAGCACTAGCAACACCAGTTGGATGGGTAGATGTAACATGGGAACAGATGTTAGTTTGTTTCTATACCAAACTTTGCTTCTCTGTAAAAAGAAAGGAAAATGGCCAACAGCCCATCGCCAAGGCCAGGATTTCAGTGCCCGTGAAATATGGGCACAAGCATCTTATCCTCCAACAGTCTCCTCCTCCACAAAAAGTTTCTTACAATGGAGAAACCCACAAATTCCATGGATTGTGGGAAGGTTGATATCCAAACGCACTCCTAATATCTAAGCCAAAGGAATGTTTCTTAACTCACTAGACTGGCCCATGTTAGCTCAGTGACACTCAACCCCCCCACCCCCACCCCAGCCATGTGAAAAGGGGTTCCAGGGAATCCTACAGAAGCTGGGGAGAGAGGCACAGTCCAGACAACAACCCTCGGAGACTTGCCTGCTAATCCAGTGTGGGTGGAGGTGGGGTGGGGTGGGGGCGGCAGCGCTCTCTGTAGGCAAAGTGGCTTCCCCGCCTCTGGGCAGCGCTCCAGACCGCCCCGCCAGCCTCCGGAGCCTCCTCCCAACCCCCTGGCATTGACTTGTCTTTCCCTTGCCCAAGCTGGGAATGCTGCTCTCATTTTGTACCAAAACAAAGCCTATTCAGAGCAGAAAGATTGCAAGTGAAGAAGTAGAAAAATCATGCTGATGAAAGATAATCTATCTTATTAAAAATCTCCAATTTTCTCCATGGACAACATGAAATAAAGTGTGAAATTCCCCCATAGTCATCGAGAAGATTGCAGGGGAAAAGACAGTGGGAGGAAGCAGTCTTCGAAATTCAAGTGAACAGCTCACTTGCAGGACCACAGAGTCAGGGGCTCAGCCTTTCCACCGACCTCCACCAGCTCGCGGGGGGGGGGGGGGGGGGGCTGGGTTGGGCGGGGAATGGGGCCGGGGCGTCCGCCTGCACGAACCCCTCCACCCCAAAGGGTTTTCAGCTCCAATGGCTTGGCGAAGCTTACGTGGCGGATCTGCCATGTCCAGGCCTAGCCAGCCGGTCGCAGTCCGGGACACAGTGCGCCCTCTCCTTTCTGGGTGCCCTCTGCTTCCCGAAGGGCCCCCGTTACCGCCAGGCAAGCACTTTTAGGCAGGCCTTCCTAGGACTATTTTAGGACCCTTGTTCCTTGGTCTCTATTTCTCGGAGAGATGAGCCACGACTTTGCTCGCAGTGAAATGGGTTGATACTCGCCCAGGTTCCAAAGGCGAAGGCGCCGCCGGGCAGCCCCGGCTCTGCTCTCGAGAGAAGCCCAGAGCCGGAGAAGTAGCAGGAGCGCGAGCTGCAGGAGTTTTTCCAATGGTCTCTGCCCAGCGCCCCCGGGTGTGTGCCGCGAGAAGAGAGGAAAGGGGTCTGCGAAGGGCAGAAGCTGCGGAAGCAGCCCCAAGGGGCCCTAGCCCGCGATGCGCAATGACCTTGGCCCTGGCCGCCGGCCCGTTCAGGGGGATCAGACTGGCCGAAGGCAGGAGCGAGCCGTGCAGCTGCGGCGCCAAGACGCGCCGGCTCTCCCGGGCCACACCCCGAGTCCTCGCAGCTCGGTGGCGGAGGCTGGGTCCTTCTCTGGCAACAGGTGCGATCCCAGACCCTCGGGCCGCTCTCCGCCCCGAAGTCTGGCTCTGGGAGAAGCCAGTGAGCTTCCAGCGTTTGCTCAGCACCTGAAAGCAGTGGGGCGGCGCGGGGACCTGCCCGGGGAGCAGCCCAGCTTTCCCCGCGTGTCCTGGGCGCACAGCCTCAGCTCTGAGATTCCCAGGGACCGCACGCTCCTGAGGCACCTCGCTTTCCTGACCACCTCCCCCTTCCCACCCCCTCCCCCCCCCGCGCCCCGCCGTCACCGGGACCGTCCCTTACCCGGTGCCGGGTGCGTGCCGCTCGGTGCCAGGCGCCCGCCGCTCCCTGCGCCACCACGGAGGTGCTCTCCAGCAGCTGCCGGCTCTGCCCGAGGCCGCGGCGATTTGGGCTCAGGAGCAACCCTCCCCCCAAAACCCTCCGAAGAGTCCAGCGCTGGCTGACTTGTCGGGAGGCTCCTGCGAGGAGGCGGTCAATCAGCAAGGTCCAGGGGCTCCTGCGGATCGCCAAGCCTCAAACTTGACCAACAGAAACTTTGGCCGAGACCGGCCGGCGGGAGACTGCTCTGCGGTCTTCACCTTTTAACCGAATCCCTCTTTCAAAGCCAAAAAGATGAAAGGGAACCCCCGAAAGCTCTAAAGATGTGCCGTCCTGTGCAACCGGAGGAATAGCCTCAAAACTAGTTGACCACAAGGAACTTCTTACAAAGTACTTTCTGTTTTGAACTGAGTAAAACAATCGCTTCCCAACAATAGCAGTGGGGAGGAGGAGGAGGCAGGATCAATCAAGGCTTTAGGTTAATCTAAGAAGTCCTTACCAAAAAGGAGGGGGAAAAAAGACAACAGGTTTTTTAAAATTAAATGTCAAAATAAGTCACAGCCAAGCAGGAATCCTCTCTCACATTAGCACATCCGGGCTGATGGAGTTGTGCTAGGGACTGGACCCCAGACTCCTAGTCAGAGATGCCAGCATTGAAACCCCAGTAATTAAATAGGTGCTAGAAGGGTCCCAGAGAATGGATCTGGTCCGACTGAGCAAAATGTTTCCGTTTTCTAGGTTACCCCATATTTTGCATAATATCTTAAACACTCATTGGTCTGCCCAGTATTTCTCTTTTTCTTTTTAAAATCTGATTTTCATACAGCAAAAATAGCAGAAGCTGAAGGACAGCAGACTTTTACGAGGAGATAGTAACTGCTTTTTGCAATGTTGGATGTGAGATTGGAAGATGCAAGGAAGTACCAGAAGAGCATAAATTGATGAGTCGCTAATTATGTGAATATATAGACAAGTTAACACACTGGCAGAAGAAGTTTGATTTTAATGATGCATGAGCAGCAAGTCTGGCTAGAACTTACACTCATTACAATTATTTAAAGACTGACTAAAGTCAAAGGAGATATGAACGTCTGGGTTTCATTTGTAGGATTTTGCTCAATTAGTGAGCATACTTCAGTACTCTCTCCCTCTCTCTTTCCCCCTCCCCATTCCAGTAACATCTGCTCAATTGCCAAAACCTCTACTGAGTTTCCCTCATAAGCCTATAAATTGAAAACATTTTTTTCTCAAGATTGGAATGTTTAAGTTGATTTAAATATCACTAGTGATCAATCATGTAAACCAATGAGTTATATTAAAATTTGCATG